CTTTGACAGTGGAGTAGACCTGAACTACAGTTATGCTTGGATTTTGGGGTCCATCAGCACTGTGTCCCTCCTGGAAGCATATACTACTCAAATAGACAATCTCCTTTTGCCTCTCTACCTACTAATATTGCTGATGGCCTAGCAGCAGTAGCAGCTGTGATGGGGGAAACAGGGAAATAAAGAGAATAAATGATCCCCACAGCAGCTAGATGCTTGGATACCAAAAACCAAAGGGTGAAAAACAGATTGGGTTTTTCAGTTGATCCAGACTTAAAATAAACATGCAAAGCTCTCCTGGTATTATTTTTGCTAAAGTTTAAAATACAAAAAGGTTTAAAGGCATACTCCAATTCAGGGATATTGACTGTGCTACAAGAGCCCCCATCTTGTAGTCTGGGAAGGAAATGGCTTGAGTGAATCCTGCAGGCGGCAGAACAGAAAGCCTAATGCTTAGGTCTCTGGTGTCAAACAAATCTGTCAGCATCCTTGGCCATACAGCCTGACTCTGTGGCCTTAGGTGAATCTAAGCCTTACATATAAAAGAATTGTAATAATGACAGCCTGGATACTGGAAGGCTCTGTTTAAGAGGAGGTGGGTGAAGTATCTAAAGTATTTAGCCTGGGGGCCAGCAGATGGCTCAGTGGGTAAAAGAACTTGCAACACAAGGCCGAGGACCTGAGATCAATCCCCAGAATCTACATAAAGGTGGAAAGAAAACTGACTCCACAGAATTGTCTGTTGACAGCCACGTGTGCATCCTCCACAGATGTCACACACACATACACTAATAATTGTTTTAAGTGTTCAGCCTGCCAACTACCTATGATGGGTCAGTAAGGGAAAGTGTCCTTATTACCCAAGAGTAATCCTGTCTCAGCCAAAAGCCAGGCAAGATAGGAGGATAGGTTATACTTGGAAGCACGAGTGACCTTTCCTCTCCTGGCTTCACTCAGAGGAAAACACAACAGGGAAAGGACTGAGTACATGCAGTGTCACTTACCTGGACTAGGAAGAACCGAAGAGAGCCATAGGTCAGCTTGTGTAGATAAGGCTGAAGAAAGCTGGCAGCACCCTGCCTCTGCTGCCTAGAGGAGAGGTAATGATAGCTAGCAGGATGAACCCAACATTCCTTCCAGACCAGACCTGTGCAAACCTGTATCCTTCTCTTCTAGTGCACAGTCCAGATCCACAGAGGCTCGGGAGTTTCTGGAGATCTCGTAACAGTTCACTGCAGGTGTGGGTTCAGGCTGTCTTAGTTCCCTGCCTGAGCTTCTGCATCTCCCAGGGTTTGCACAGAGCCTGGCCTGTGGCAAGAACTTGGTAAAGATTGACTAAACAATGAACAAGTGCCATCAGTGAGTGGTAACAGCAAGATTCCCATGGCTTCCCCGCAATGTGGCAAGGGGAGGCAAGAACAAGGCCATAAGCTAGGATTGGAGCTCTAGAAAGCGGAAGTCTCTTCCTGGGAACCTCTGCCAAGCCCTTTCCCTCACAGCACTGGCCTGTTCCTCTGGGGCCAATGGGAAGGCACAGGCTCCCCTCCCTGTGTGGAGGTGGCCCAATGTTGGAGAAAGCACCAGCTTTACTCCCTGGCTAGCTTTGCAGAACATTCAGCTAGGCTTCAGAGTTGGTAGAGGACTAGATTTGGGCCAGCCAGGTGACTCAATGAATGAGGACATAGAGCTGTGCTGGGCCTCTCAAGTCAGTGAAAAAGTAGGGAGGCAAGCTTTTAACCATGGCACTCAGGAGCAGACAGTGGAGGATCACAAGTTTAAAGTTATCTTCAGCTACATATTAAATTCAGGATCAGTTTGGATTACATGAAATGCTATCATATATGTATATATATAATATATATATATATATATTTTTTTTTTTTTAAAGATAGGATCTTACATAACTCTGCTCTGACTGGTCTGCAAGTTGCTAATAGGCTGGCTTGCAAGTCACAGAGATCCCACTTGCCCTGCCTTCCCCTCTAGGACCAAAGGCAGATGCTAAAACACATTTTTTTAATGCTCAAAATACATATTTTTTAATGTTGTCAAGACAGCTCAGTGGATAAAAGCACTCATCCCTTGTTAGGGCTGAAGAGATGGCTCAACTGCTAAGACAGTTCCCAGAACCCACATGACAGCTAACAACCTCTTAGAACTCCAGTTCCAGGGGGATTGATTGATGCCCTCTTCTGGATAGCAGGCACACATGTATCCAGGCAAAACACTCTTTGGGGAAAAAAAAAAGCAAGTCAGACATGGCAGCATATAGCTTTACTAACAGCATTTGGGAGGCAGAGGCAGGTAGATCTGTTAGTTCAAGGCCAGCCTGGGCTACATTGCAACTTCCAGGCCATCCAAGCAATAAAACCCTATCCAAAAATACAAAAAAAAAGGGGAGGGGGAGAGGGTTCCTGGAGAGATGGCTCAGCGGTAAAGAGCACTGACTGTTCTTCTATAGGATCCAGGTTGAACTCCCGGCACCAACATGACAGCTCACAACTGTCTGTAACTCCAGTTCCAGGGGATCTGCGCCCTCACACAGACATACATGCAGTCAAACACCAATGTATATAAAATTAGAATATGAAGTTTCTGGTAGCTCCAAGACTGCTACATTTACCCAGTATGTGTAAGGTCCTGATCCTTCACTACCAGCAAAAGAGGAGGGAGGGGAGTCCAGCCAACAGTCACCATGTAATGGTACTGGCCTGGTGTTGTCAAATGTCACTGAAGAAAGCTTGAAAACGGGAAGTTTCCCAGTTTAAGAAGTGTGTGGGCTGAGTGGGGTGGCATAGGCCTTTAATTCCAGCATTAGCGAGGCAGAGGCAGGTGGATCCCTGTGAGTTTGAAGCCAGCCCGGTCTACAGAGGGAGTTTCAGAACAGCCAGGGAATGCACAAACCCTGCCTCAAAAAACCAAAACAACAAAAAAGGTGTGTGCATGTGTGTGAGAGAGAGACACAGGATGGAGCCCAGGGCCTTGTGCAAATATCCACAGCTGAGCTTAACAACAACAAAAGCTTTTTGCTAAAAAAAAAAAAAAAAAATCAAGACCAATACATCTCTGATTGCAATCAGCTAAGTCCTTGCTGACTGCAGTATCTGGCCAGTCCTCAGCTCAGCGGGATTGAAATCTAGTAGTTCTGGAAGGTGCTGGAAAGCACAGCCTATCAAGAGTGACCAACCAGCAGGGCCTCATTGGCTCCTGACTTCATCACACAGATCTAACAAGGCTTAAGAGAGGAAGGACCTGGCCTGATATCCAGGGCCAGGAAGCCCTGGGACTGGATTCCTCACCCCAGCAAAGGACAAAGGAGCTGGAAGTTAGCCGCTCAGGCCTGGAGGGAACTAGGGAGCTAAGCATTTGTGTGACTTGGGCATGTCACTTGCCCCTTCTCCAGTTCTGGATCCATAAAGACAGAACTGCCTCTCCTCGGAAGGACTCTGACATAAAGCCTGTGCACAGAGTGCCCACTAAACATTGCCCACTGGTGCATGTAAGCATACCAAGCAGGGTGGGTGCTCTTGACAGCTCTGTAGGGCTGTTAGTGATGTAGAGAAGCCATGTTCAAAAGTCATTGTATGGACAGGGTATATACTCACTCACAAGTGGATATTAGACATATAATATAGGATAAACACACTATAATCTGTACACCGAAGGAAGTTAATCAAGGAGGACTCTGGCTAAGATGCTCAATCCCCATTCAGAAAGGCAGAGGATGGACATCGGAGGAGAGAAAAAACAAGGAACAGGACAGGAGCCTACCACAGAGGGCCTCTGAAAGGCTCTACCCTGCAGGTTATCGAGGCAGATGCTGAGACTCATAGCCAAATTTTGGGCAGAGTTCAGGGAATCTTATGAAAGAAGTGGGTGATAGTAAGACCTGGAGAGGACAGGAGCTCCACAAGGAGAGCAACAGATCCAAAAAGTTTGAGCACAGGGTTCTTTTCTGAGACTGATACTGCAGCCAAGGACCATTCGGAGATAACCTAGCACCCCTGCTCAGATGTAGCCTATGGCAGCTCAGTGTCCAAGTGGGTTCCATAGTAATGGAACAGGAATTGTCTCCAACAGGAACTGATTGGCTTGCTCTTTGATCACCAACCCCTGAGGGGAGAGTAGCCTTACCAGGCCACAGAGGAAGATAATGCAGCCACTCCTGATGAGACCTGATAGACTAGGATCAGAGGGAAGGGGAGGAGGACCTTCCTTATCAGTGGACTGGGGGAGGGGCACCGGTGGGGAAGAGGGAGGGAGGGTGAGATTGGGAGGGGTAAGAGAGGGAGCTACAGGGGGGATACAAAGTGAATAAACTGTAATTAATAAAAGTGAAAACACCAATCACAGGAAAGCCCTGTGCAGGAACAGCCTACCTAAAGAGTCCACTCAGTTCATAAATCACTCACCTAAGCAAAACCCTGGAAGGACTCAAGATCTCATCCTAGGGAAGAAGGAGCCAAAGTAATTTCTGTCTATATGTTTGTCCTGTGCCTTTCATTACAACTGTCTAGTTTCTCTTATGATATTAAAAGTAGCAAATGAGAGGGCTGGAGAGATGGCTCAGTGGTTAAGAGCACTGTCTGCTCATCCAGAGGTCCTGAATTCAATTCCCAGCAACCACATGGTGGCTCACAACCATCTATAATAGGATCTGATGCTCTCTCCTATCATGAAGGCATACACACAAATAGAGTGCTCATATATATAAATAAATAAGTCTTGGGGAAAAAAGTAGCAAATGAAACAAACACACACACACACACAAAAAAAAAAAGAAAATAATTTTTAAAAAGTCATTGTGTGGACCAAAGGGATGACTCAGCAGTTAAGAGCACTGGTTGCTCTTGCATTTAGGGGTTCAATTCCCAGTAGGCACATGGCAGCTCACAAACATCTGCAACTCCAGTTCTAGGGGATGCAACACCCAGTTCTGGCCTTCCAAGGTGCTGCATGTGGTGCAGACGTACATACAGACAAAAATACCCATACACATAAAATACATTTTATGTTGTTTTATTCAGTGCCTTACACAGCAACATCCATCCAAGAGAAAACTGAGCCTCGACCACAATTCTTTCATTACTGAGAGGCCACTTCAGAAAGCTGGGTTGGGACAGAAAGGTGACAGAGACAAAATTTTGAAGGAAGCTCTTCAACCAGCCTGGGCTGCTGCCCTGTCACTTCTGCTTCTTGGCTGTCTGCTGGACCAAGGTCACAGACACCATCAGAAAGAAAGCCGAGGAAGTGCCCTTGGGTTGCCACCAGAGGCTCTGGTGTTGAAAGCTCACCTTGTGGGAGGCCAGCCCAGTCCTGCCAAGGCCTTTAGATGTAGAGTGGTGGGAAGGGCAGTTCAGCTGTGGGCTGGAGCCTGCAGAGTACAAGAGGTGGCCTTAAGGGATCGCTGTGCCAGCTCGAGGGTCTTCTCAGGAGGTTCTCTGGGCACATACCAGGCCTGCTACCTACCAGTTCCCTGGGCTCCAGACAGTGCCACCAGCTGCCTCCATGAGGTGGAAAGTATAGGCCTCTCGTGAGTGGTCAGAGAGGTTCTGCTCACTTTTATGCACCACTTCTCCATGGATCAGGACCAGACCCCCTGTGGGATACACCAGTTACCAGCAACTCACCACCAGCTGCATAGCAGTCCTTCTCCTCCTCCATCAGAAGGAAAAGTGTCCTATCCTTAGAAACTCAGGCTCTCACTCCTGCTCCAGGATTGGAGGCCATGCTGTTAGACAAAGGGTCCCCTGGCATCAAGTCCTCTCCACTGTGGCCTGCCTTGGAAGCATTATGGAGGGCTTCCCCAGGCCGGGCGTGGTGGTGCAAACTTTTAATCCCAGCACTTGGGAGTCAGAGGCAGTGGATCTCTACGAGTTCAAGGCCAGTCTGGTCTACAGAGTGAGTTCTAGGACAGCCAGGGGGTTATGCAGAGAAACCCTGTCTCAAAAAAAAACAAAAGGGGGGGCTCCCCTTCCCTGGAGAATAAGTCAACTGAGACCTGGTGACAGGGAGTTGGAGCCAGTACCCTTTCCACAGGAAAAGTAGGTACTACCTGCCAACACACAGGGAGTGCTTGCACACCTCACACATTCCCTGGAAACATCCTACATTCATTGCCTTCTGCCTGGGAAACGAAGGCTCAGACACTCAGTGACATGGCCCCTAAGGACCTGACCTTAGAGAGCCTGCTGGAAGCACAGTGCTCACTGACCTCCATGCCCCATGCCAGCACTACCATCTTCCAGTCTGCAGTTTCATGGTCCTCAGATGACAGGCACGACAGAGAGCCTTTTGGATGCCAAGCATGGGGCAAACACAGACCTCTCGGCATGACCACGTGCCTCCCAGTGCTCTGCCCCCAACCTACCTCTCTTCACTGGCAAAGGCACAAAGAGGTTGTTATCCCAGGCCGGCTCTGACCCAAGGAAGCTGGTGCCAGGCCTGGAGCCTTCAGGTGCTCGGATCATCCTTCTTGACACCCCACCTGTGGGCCAACATGGAGCCTTTAGCCTCTCTTTTCACATGTCCCTCTCCCTGGGGGTAGGTTGGGCAGGGATACACCGGGTCTCACTGGTATGGGAGCCAGGGATGAACCACAGGCAGCCGTTCTCCAGCATGGCATCCTCCATCGCAATCCACACGCCCAGCACGCGGCCCAGGGGCTCCGTGTACAGGAAGGTAGCATCCTGATGAGGGGTGACTGTAGGAGACCCACCTGGGAATGAGGTACAAGGCCCTCGGCCAGGCCTCACCTCACCCCGGCCAGGTTCTCATTCGCTATCCTCCCCGGGCCGGCCTAGCCATTACCAGCTGAGAGTCTCACCACTGCCTGGTCTACCAGCTCCAAGCAAACTGTGCTCAAAGTTTCCATCTCCTCAACTCCAGTGGTTCCAACTACAATCTGCCTCAAAGGCCTGCAAGAGAATACTGTACGATGAGCTGTTAAAATTGCCCACTATGGGAGAGGCAGCTGGGGAGACAGCATAGTGGCAAGAGCACTGTCTGCTCTTCCAGAGGTCCTGAGTTCAATTCCCAGCAACCACATGGTGGCTTACAACCATCTAGAATGTGTAATGGGAATTTTGGTTTCTGTAAAAACTCAGTTATGTAAATATGTTTTTGTTTTAATTCCAAGTGTGAGATTTTAGTTTGGGCTCTAGTTTGTTGACAGTTGATAATTGCCTTCTGTGGGTCGTGGTCTTTGCCAGCTGGTAATGCCTGCTTTGTGCAGCAGGGAGAGGGGTGTGGTCTAGGACTCTGAGGAATATAAATACAGGAGCCCAGAAAAAGAAGGTGTGGCAGCTCGGAGAGACCAGACACAGATGGTGTGGTGCCTTGGAGGAGACAGAGGAAGAAAAACCTTTCAATGTAGCAGCTTGGAGGAGCTTGCTTGCTGCATTTGTTGTTGATGGAGATTGGCAGAGCTCTAGAAGAACCCATTGACCTTAAACAGCCAGGAGAACTAAATGGGTCTGCACCCTCTCCCCACTAACCTTCTCTCTCTTACCTAGGGCTAAAAGGTTGGAGGAAGGGAGGCAGAGGCTAAAATACCCCAAATAAAATCATGTTTAAAAATGAGTGCAACAATAATGTGATCTGATGCCCTCTTCTGGTGTGCAGAAGTATATGCAGACAGGGCACTCATACACATAAAATACAGGAATTTTTTAAAAAATTGCTTACTACAAGGCTGAACCTCATAATACAAAGAGTAGCAATTTTTTAGTCCCAGCCACATCACTAAAGCTACTCTTCTTTTTTCTTTTCCTTTTTTTTTATTTTTTTCCAAGACAGGGTTTATATCTGTATAGCCCTGGCTGTCCTGGAACTCACTCAGAAGACAAGGCTGCCCTTGAACTCAGAAATCCTCATGACTCTACCTCCTGAGTGCTAGGATTAAAGGAGTGTAAAACCACTGTCAGCTAAAGCCACCATTTTTACTTATTTATCATTTATACAGTATTCTGCCTGTATGTTTGCCTATACACCAGAAGAGGGCACCAGATCTTATTATAGATGTTTCTGAGTCACCAAGTGGTTGCTGGGAATTGAACTCAGGACCTTTGGAAGAGCAGCCAGTGCTCTTAACCATTGAGCCATCTCTCCAGCCCCAAAGCCACCATTCTTAATCAGGGGTCAGCAGATTTGAACCACCAAATGGCCCACCAGTAGGATAAGCTAGAAACAGAAGCAGAGCAGAGCACAGACTATGAATGACCAAGCCACTACATTTCCTTGCTCTGTTTTGTTTTGTGACAGGGTCCAGCTATGTAGCCCAGGTTAGCCTGAAACTCACAATGCTTGTGTCTCATCCTCCAGAGTACTGGGACTACAGGCTTGTGTCACCAGACCCAGATAGAACATTTGCATGCTAAGTACATGCTCTCCAGCTGAACTATATCCCTAGTCCTTTTTACTTTTGTTTTGAGACAGGGTCTTCTCAGTAAGTTGCTGAGGCTAGCAACTGAGTCCTCCTGAGTAGCTGGAATCACAGGCATGCGTCACAGACACTAGTATCCTGTTTTACTAGTCAGAAGACAAAGCCCTAGCCCATTTGCATCTGCTTTGTAAAACCTCCTTGGGATGATGCCAGGCACACCCAGAATGAAGATGCTCCTGAACAGAGCTAAATCTACAGTAACAAGTATGGGGGGGGGGGCAATCTCACCTTCAGTCTTCTTGGGTAATTGTACATTCTAAGCAACCACAGGGACTTTGAAATCCCCAATGCTATCCAGAGGATAACAATTAAAGGAGCTTCAAAGTATTTGAGGGGGAAAAGTAGCCAGGGTGCTGGATGTGTTGGACTTGGGCACAGTAGGCACAGGAAGGTGAGAGGGGCCCTCTGGTGCAGTGTGGGAGGCTGGTCACAAGGAGTCAGACTTGAGTTTATGCCAAGAAGGAAAAGGGCTGCATGTGAGTGGGGTCACAGGCAGTATTCCTTGGCAGCAGAGGCACCTGCGCAGAACACCAGCCACCTACCACGGGGTCCTTAAACTCCTTCAGTCAGCAAATCCCATGCTTAATGAATTGGGGAAAGGTTATTAAAAATACATGCCACTGCTTCCTGGAGTGCTGGAGTGCTGGGGTTACGGGAATATGCCACGATAGCAGGCATAAGTAATGAGACAGGGTTTCTCTGTGTAGCCCTGGCTGTCCTGGGACTCACTCTATAGACCAGCCTAGCCTTGAATTCAGTGATCTACCTGCCTCTACTGGGATTAAAGATATATGCCAACACCATCCAGCTTTAAGTAAACCCTTTTTTAATAATACAGCCTTGTAGGCTCATGCTGACCTACTCAGGTAAGATCTAAGGGAGGTGTTGCAGGATATTGGATCACAATGTGAACCCTGACCTTGTGTCGTTTACTGGAAAATCCCATTTCTAGTTGTGGTGTGGCTCAGTTCTAGCACATACCTTTAATCCAAGAGCTTTCTGCTTGAATATTGTAAACAGGATTAAATAAAGTCAACCATAGGTCAAGAGGGTAAGCAACCAGTTGACAGGAAGTGAACATGGTATTATTAATAAAAAAAAAAAAAAAAAAAAAAAGCCAGGGCTGGAGAGATGGCTCAGAGGTTAAGAGTACTGGCTGCTCTTCCAAAGGTCCCCTCTTCTGGTATGTAACCACAGTGTTCATGCAGGCAGAACACTGTATATATAATAAATAATTAAATCTTTGGGGAAAAAAAAAAGCAAGCAAGCAAGAAAAACCAAAAAAACCTAAAACAAACAAACAAAAACAAAAAAGAAAAATATGTAGAGAGGAAGAGGAAGTCAGGAAAACATACAGAGAGACAGACACACAGGAAGTGGAAGGAAGGAACATTCAGTTTGAAGGCTTTTTTTGAGACAGTGTGGGAGAAAAAGAAGCATGCCTTTTGGGACGTCCACTGAGGGGGAAGACCAGCAGGGTGATTTTTCTGCCTCTGAGACAGTCGCCTTCCACCCCAGAATCTGGTTGAGTCTTTTGGGGAAAATCAAATGATTGGAGCATTTGGCGCTCCAACACTGGGCACAGTCACATGGATAGAGAAATGATGCCAACTGTGTACAAACTGAGAAGCCATCAGATTTGTTAAGACCTGGGAAGTCCTCAAGGAAAGAGTTAAGTAATATTAAAAGGAAAAAAATCTTTTCCATGTTATGGATGGGAAATATCATGATACAGGGCATTAGAACACTGTATAGTGCTACCTTAGACGGCTTAAAAATAGAAGCAGAAAATGAAAAGATAAATGAAATCATTTAACTGAGACTGACATAATACTGATTATAATTACCATCATTATTGTAATTCATATTTTATCCTGAATAGCCATAGGTTGTTTTTTGTGCCAAATATGACAAGTGGTTTGATAATTGTGCCAAATGTGAAAAGTGGATTGATAAAATACAAGCCTTTGGCAGTAGCCATGCAGGAAGAACTTCAGTGAGCAACTGAGCTCCCTGGAGAGTTGCGTGGCTGTGGTGGGTGTGTCTCGGAAAGGCTTCATCTCTAGATTGCTTCTTGCTGCTGCTGTGCCTTCCCATGCTTGTCCTTTCTGTGTTCCTCGTATGTGTGATTGGGTGTAGGTATGGCATGGTGTGATTGGGTGTGGGGAGACCTCCCTGTCTGTAGTCTGGTGTGACTGCTTCCAAGGCATTAGCCCACCCTGTTGGGCAAATTTCCTCAGACCAACATGAAAATGTACTGTCATGAAATAATGTTGTTTAGATCAATTGATGATTTTATCATTCCTGATAATGATTTTATACAATTCCTGATTGATTCAAGCACTTTAAAGAAAAGTTAAGATAGTTGATAGAAAGTTTAAATTTAGAATCAAAAGTAGAATAGCAAAGGCTGCACAGGTTAGAAAAGGAGCTCAGTGGGCATTCATGTGTTATAAGCACATATATTGCTTAGAAAAGAAAAAGAGGCTTGGGATAGATTGATGATAAGGAAAACATTCACTCTATGTTAGGTCCAGGTATCAGATCACAGGTCTCAGTATATACCATGATAAGAAAAACCATGAACAATAAATGGTTAATTCTATTATGAATATAAGAACAGAGAATGGATGGTTAGCTAATTCAGTTATAGAAGACTTTAAAAATAAGACATAAGATAGATGACCTGTTTCTTGGTAAATATAGGTTGTAACCAGCTAGTAACGGGGGAAAAAAACTGGCTACTATAGGCTTATCTTACTTAAACCTTGTTACCTGTGACATAAAAAAAAGCTATTGCTTTGAATTTTCAATGAATTTGTAGAATAAAAGATAGCTGAGAAATGTTTAATTAGATACAAGTCTTAATGGAAAGACATGTAAATAGTAATCCTGTTGTAACTCCTTAAATCTTGTTAACCTATGACATGAAAAACTATTGCTTTGAACTTACAATAAACTTGTGGAATGAACAGATATATAAAAAAATGCTTAGTAAGGTACGAGTTTTAATGTAAAAACATGCAATCAATAATCCTGCTGTAACTCCCTCTTGTGTAATGAATTTATCTGTTTTGTGATAATTGCTTTTATGGCTATGAAGTAATTTCTCTTATGTAGAGAACATTACCTTAGGGGTATAAAAAGAGCTAGAGAAAAATAAAAGGTTGTTGGAACCTCTGGGGTTTGCTCCATCCACCGTATATCTTCATGGTGGATGGAGGTTTGTATATGTATATGTTTATGTATACACATACATA